TCACACTTGTTAGAATAACTGTTATCAGGATGACAACAATCAGCAAGTGCTAGCAAGAAGCCTGAGAAAAAAGAACATCCATAAACCATCAGAACTGGGGTGGGAAGAGCACACTGGTTATGCTGATGGCACACGGGTGAACTGGTGGGGGGAAGCCTATGGGGATTCCATTGAGATGGAAAAGTGCACAAAATGGAGAATGACGTAAAAAAAAAGGCTATAAATTGGTGCAACTTTATGGAAAATAGTATGGTGTTTAGTCGAAACTGTAAGACTGGAAATACCATATGATCCAGTTATTGCATTTCTGGGTATTTATCTGAACACTACCAGAACAGTAATGTGAAATGACATATGCACACCTCCAGTCATTGCAGCATCATTTACAATAGCAAGATATGGAGACAACCTAAATATCCATGGAGGGATGAATAAATAAAGAAAATGTGAGATTCTCTCTCTCTCTCTCTCACCCTCAAATACAGGAAAACTACTCAACTTTCAAAAAGGTTACAATCTTGCCATTTACTACAATGTGGATGGAGCTTGCGGGGACCATCGAGGTGAAATAAGTCAGAGGGACAAATGTAAATCCTGTCTGATTTCACCCATATGGGGAATGTAAAGAAACAAAGCAAATGAAGTAAAAACAAATTCTTGATTGTGAGGAAAGATTAGTGGTTACCAGAGGGAAAGGGAGATAGGAAATGGGTGAAACACTTGATGGTCAATTGACTCTAGTGGGTGGATCATTATGTGATATGCATAGATGTCAAATGATAATGATGTACACATGAAACTTATGTAATGTTAAAATGTTTCTTCAATAAATTTATTTCAATCATTTTTCTTCATAGTAAAATTCTCTTTTTAATAACATGCTCATCCATACTTACATATTCACAGTACATTTACTTGTATTTATTAAGCAAATGTATGTGCATTATTATTCCTGAGAAACCCAGATAACCTAAACACAGAAGGAGAAATGAGATGACAGGAAGAAGATACCAGAAGGGGTTCCCTGCTTCTCTCTTGTGAGGGTAATCTGGAAATAGCCCAGGGAGCACTGGCTAGAGAGGAACTGGGACTTGGGCAAATCTAGAGCATCTCCTGGTTGTTGGAAATCAATACTGACTGTGCCAAAAGGGACTTTGAGGAGATTCAACTCCATACTCCAAAAGGCAGGTGGAGAGAGGTAGAGAAACTACAGCCAGGATCTACCCATCCTCTCACTCTACTCTGTCAAAACACTCTTCTCTGGTATAGAAAGCACCAAGGTTTGGCAATAGCAAGAAGAAATTGAGATTTTCAGACATCATAAGTGAGAAAGCAAAATGATGTATCACGTTTAAAGCCCACTTGGCAGTATCTTATTAAGTTAAGCATAAACTTGCCATACCACCTGGCAAGCGCAACTCAAGATATTTGATGGCGTGAGATACAACATATGTTCCTACACAAACCTATATGTAAATGTTTACAGCAGTTTACTTTAATCAGTACAAACTAGAAATTAGCAATCCAGTTAAATCCATATCCATAGAGTATTATCTGACAATGAAAATGAGCCTGGGCCCATTGCAATGCCTGCATTACGCTCAGGGAAAAGAATACAGGCTCAATATGATTTTGCTTGGATGACTCCTTTTGTTCTTTAATACTTTATGACTGTTTTCTGGTAAAATGGCTGTCATTGTACTAATTTATGAAAATGATGTTTGTTTTTCTACTCCAAATTACGTTTATGCAGTAAAGTAAGTTTCCACTTTGTGTCTGTTCCAGAGGCTATCGGTTCGAACTTCTACAAATGTCTAATTTCACACGCTGCCACCACCAGTGCATTTCTGGCAAAGGAAAAGTCATAAAGACAAAGTCACTGTCCAGGACTTCAGGGTGACAGGAGGATGAATGACAAGAGAACATAGGGGACTTTTTGGTACCTAGAGCTGTTTTTTTTTTTTTTTTTTAAGATTTATTTATTCATACAGAGCTGGGGTACAGGCCAGAGATGCGAAGGGTGAGAGGCTTCACCAGAGACAGAGTGGAGAGCAGGACAGGCAGATCAATGAAGTACACTGCTGAGGGGAGCAGCAGGCGGGCCAGGAGAGGTCTGCCGCACCATGTGGTCACCTCCGGGGCAGGCGGGGATTGAACTCATGTGGAGGTGGCTTTAGAGTCTCAGTGCTGTGCTTTAACCCGCTGCGCCAACAGGGAGGGCCCGATAGAGCTGTTCTTTATTTTGATTGTGTGGTGGTTCCTGATCCTATACATTGGTCCAACTGGCAGGATCATATACTGAAATGCATGAAATTTACTGTAGGCCCTCCCTGGTGGCGCAGCGGGTTAAAGCACTGCACAAAGCTTAAACCACTTCCGCATGAGTTCGATCCTCGCCTGCTCCGGAGGTGACCACATGGCTCGGCAGACCTCTCCTAACCTGCCCGCTGCTCCCCTCAGCAGTGTACTTCTTCGACCTGCCTGTTCTGCTCCCTGCTCTGTCTCTGGTGAATCCTCTCACCCTCTGCATCTCTGGCCTGTACCCCAGTTCTGTACGAATAAATAAATAAATTAAAAAAAAAAAGAAATTTACTGTAAGTGAACACACCTAAACTGAAAAAGGAATAAATGACAATAACTAATGGAATTGCATCAGTTCCTTCGCCCCCCCCCCTCAACGTTGCCTCTTACTTAAGCGGCATAAGGAATAGAAGTGGGATATGCAGCTGGGTCAGTTCCCCAGAGGTCTCTAGATGTTTAGAACTCCCTCCTGGTTCCCATTCATTATCTCCTAAAATCCCAATGTGATTCTTCTGCTTGACATCATCCTAGAAGGAACTGATGATCTCTGGAGTCCCTTTGATAATTTATTTACTCGTCTGAATGTAAAGCATTAGTACTGGTCTTCTTCCAAAGATCAGCGTCCTGATCTTCTTACAAACCCAGTATTTATGTAAGTTCACAATCTTTGACAGGAAACTCCCAAGATAAAAATTACATTGAGTAGAGTTTAAATGATTGTTCTTTACTGGGTTGTTTTGTAGAACTTTCTGTGAATATATTGCATGAACAATAGTCTATTTCACAAATACAGAAAAACAAGTTTGGCATAAAGTTTATGCAGTAGTTTTAAGATGTTTTTAAAGACATTTTGATAACATCTTTTAAAAGCTTGAGAGATGTATATGTTCTTCCCTAGCAGAGTTTCAGTTGACTAATACAGACAAAGCATTTGGGATTGCCAGCACCTTTTTTTAAGGGACAGGTAAGTTTTAGATCCCAAATTCATGTTTAGTGAGAAATGAAATACGTACAATAGCAACAGTGAAGTTGGTATTGTAAGTTATTTGAGCCAATGGGATCGCAGATTGAGCCTAGCCAACTTCAAGCTCACTCACCTGCACAACTCTGCATATCACCAGCCGTGTCCCAAAACACCTCAGAGACCCTCACTCCACCCTTGCAGACATAGGTTTGTGCCAAATATGATGCCTTGTTTCTAATGGATTAATTTCTGTAAATACTGTAATAATCCCTTCTGACAAGTTCCCTTAACATCATTATTTTATAGAGGAAAAAGGAGATTGAAGAAGTTAAATTAGGACCACAGATTCCCAGCTGGTAAGTGGGGGTGGTGCTATGTGAATGCCTAAGTACTTTCCAGCCAAGTTCTAAAACCCAGTGCCACACCTTCTCTCCAGAAATGCTGATCTGGTTCCTTGTGCCTCTCCTACTGCTGGGCCATTGTCTAGTTCACATGTGACTCTTTATTTTTTAGGTTTCGCTTTTATTTGCTTTTTGCTACTTAAATACTGTGTCTGACATCCCTGTTAATGTTGTGAGAGTGTAGGATACACCTCAGGTGTGGTCACTTAAGCTTTCCCAGGACTGAAGCACCATAGCCCTCCAACAAAGTGCTCTCCCCACCCCACCCAGCCTCCCCTCTCACCCCTTCCCCTCTGAAAGCCACATATCTATGGTCAGCTTTCAAGGGCCGATTCTAAAGTTTGTCTTTATCTGACATTTTGCTTGGTTTTTCTACATTTCACCTATAAGTGACATCATCTGGTGTTTTATTTTCTGGCTTATTTCACTTAGCATAATTCCTCCTGTTTCCCTCCATCTTGCTGCAAATGGCATGACTTTACGTTTTTGATTGCTGCGTGATATTCTGTTGTGAATAGAGTTCACCTCTTGTTTCACTCATTTGTTTTGGGGAACTTTGGTTGTTTCCATGTCTTGGCTATTGTAATCAATGCTGCAATAAACACAGAAGTTTATGTTTCCTTTTGTAAGTTAGGGGTAGATAACTAGAAGTAGAATTACTAAGTCCAACGGCAGGTCCATTTTTAGTCTTTTGAGGAAACTTCACTCTTCTTCCCATAGGGACTGGACCAGTCTACATCCCACCAACACTCATGGATCTTCGTTACTCCACTGTGTACCTACACTGAGTTTGATCTAATGAACACAATGAATAAAGTGAATAGCGTTACAATAAATTTCATTAAGTTTCAACTAAGAGAATCCTGAATAACATTATGGATTTGTTCAAAGTTTGACTCTCAATAGTCAATACTGGCTTAGACTTGTAAAGAACACTTTGCATGTTTGTTGAGAGATTTTGATATATTTAAAAACATTTAATATAACTGTGTACTTGGAGTGAGACATGTATAAATGCAAGCTGTTAGTAGACTCAGCTGATTTAATTTGCAAGATATTTTTGTGGCAAATATGTGACCTGAGACAAATCATAATCTTCTGCACTTCGGTTTATTTGCATAAATGGGGTGTTGGCCATGTGATCTGTGAGAATCTGAGAGCTTTGACAGCATAGAGATATTTTACCTTTTGTTCAGATCTATGCTTTAAGTCAGTGAATCATGAAGAATAAATTATTGCCATAATGAGATAAGCAGGATATTTACAGATTTAATTTTTGTGCAATCACTTTTCTGTTTACCAAATGTTTCTTTTCCCCTTACTTAGTAATTCCCATGGAGAATAGTTCAGCCGTGATAAATTTCATTTTGGTGGGTCTAACCAATGCCCCAGAACTTCGGATCCCCTTCTTTATCTTGTTCACCTTCATTTACCTCATTACTGCTTTGGGGAACCTGGGGATGATCCTGTTGATCCTTGTAGACTCCTGTCTCCACACACCAATGTACTTTTTCATCGCTCACCTGTCTCTGGTGGATTTTGGTTACACCTCAGCTGTCACTCCCAAAGTGATGTCTGGGTTTCTTGTAGGAGACAAGGTCATCTCCTACAATGCATGTGCTGCTCAAATGTTCTTTTTCGCAGCCTTTGCCACTGTGGAGAATTTCCTCTTGGCTGCAATGGCCTATGACCGCTATGCAGCCGTGTGCAAACCCCTGCATTACACCACCATCATGACCACAGGTATGTGTGCTCGTCTGGCCATAAGTTGCTATGTTGGTGGCTTCCTGAATGCCTCCATTCATGTTGGGGACACATTCCGTCTCACTTTCTGCATGTCCAATGTGGTCCACCACTTTTTCTGTGATGTGCCAGCTGTCATGGTTCTCTCTTGCTCTGATAGACATGTTAGTGAGATGGTTCTCTTTGTTGTGGCAAGCTTTGACATCTTAATTTCTCTTGTGGTTATCTTGATTTCCTATATTTTCATATTTCTCACCATCCTGAAGATGAAATCAGCCAAGGGACACCAAAAGGCTTTGTCCACCTGTGCTTCTCACCTCACTGCTGTCTCCATCTTTTACGGGACTGTCATCTTCATGTACTTACAACCCAACACCAGCCGTTCCATGGACACAGACAAGACAGCATCTGTGTTCTATGGTATAATCATCCCCATGCTAAACCCTATGGTCTACAGTCTAAGGAATAAAGAGGTCAAGAATGCATTCAAAAAGGTTTTGGGGAAAGCAAAATCATCTTTAGGACTGGGGATTGATGTTGTATGAAGCCTATTAACATAGTGCATTTCTTAGGTCACATTCACATTTTAAGTGTTACACAGCGTTAAATTCCTCATGTGCTTACCACATCAGAAGACTGTTAGTAAAAATAAAATATGTTGAGAGGTGTGATATTTGAACAAAGATGATTAAAGGAAAATGTAAGACTTTTTGTGTCTTGTTTAAAGTTTTGGAAATGGTGTGGATTGTAGTCTATAATATGGTGTTGAAATTTGAAAGTGGTTAAGATGGTAAGTAGACACTACGATGATAATTTTGGGGGTGCACATGTTGAAACTTTATATTTTATACTTTGCAGTTAAAATGATTTAATGATTCCTCACCAAAAAATTTTCTTTTCCCAGTATTTGTATTTTCCAAACAAAAATACTGGCTTTTCCTTTCCTTTGTTGCTCTGGTAGCCACTAATCAGGAAAAGGAGACAATGCTGAAGCAAGGATATAGTTGGGCTCTGATCGCTGACCTGAATGTACATTTTGATTCGGAAAGATGAACACCTGTTCATAACATTGTACATTTTATAATGCAATGTCACTTCAACTAAAAAAAAAAAAAAAACCAGAACACTGGCCAAAGTCAATTTATTTGTTCCCTTGTTTCACATGCACACAGTGTGACATAAGCAGAAGCGCATAATGTGCTCTATATGGGCATGAAGACACACGCAGCATAAACTAAAATAATTTTTACATTTTCAGGATTTACATCTATTCTTATTTATATGTTTAATAAAACCACTGTTTTAAGTGTGTTAATTGAAAAAGAAAAAGATACATAATTCTATGTGAAAGTACCTTATATATCCTCTCTAAATATCTGCCACCATGGCTGATACAGAAAAGCAGAGTTTTTACTTCTAGACCTCTGAACTCTGAGAGAATAAATTGCTTTAACGCAATAAAGTTGCGTAGTATGTATGTCATAAGAAATCATAATAGTAAATCCTCCCTCAATTTCCTCTGTTTACTTTTATTTGCATACTTACTTATTGATTTATTCAATTCCTAGTTGGATGAGGTGTAGGAGTGAATATGGGGGATTTTGAGGTGACCAATAGCAAAAGCAGAGAGCCCAAGGGACAATAGAGGAGGTTTGTGGGTATTCTGGTGATCATTGTGGTGTGATAATGTTCTTCTGAAGATGTGTGAATCTATACTCCCAGATAATACTGTAATAATATTGTAAACCAATGTTACCTCAATAAGGACACACTCAAAAAAATAAAATTCACACATAAGTCAAATGTTTAGAATAGTTTATCAATTGGAAAAGGATAAATAAAATGGGAGGACTAACACTGAACATTATCATTGTTCAGTTTGTACTTTTTAAAGATGTATTTGTTTATGCATACAGGACTGGGGTACAGGCCAGAGGTGCAGGGGCGGTGAGAGGCTTCACCAGAGACAGAGTGGGGAGCAGAACAGGCTGACTGATGATGTACACGGCTGAGGGGAACAGCGGGTGGGTTAGGAGAGATCTGCTGCGCCATGTGGGTCATCTCCAGGCTGGGATCGAACTCATGCTGAAGTGGCTTTAGCTTCTTAGTGCTGTGCTTCAACCCTGCGCCACCAGAGAGGGCCCAGTTGATGATCTTTTTTACTTTATGATAATTACTATATGTATTTTCCCCATCCCTTACACTCCTGCTATGCGTTGTCATTTCAGACTTGATATTTTTTCAAATAGAAAAATAAAAAATTGAGACATAAAATTCATATAAGTAATACATAGATGGATTTTTAACATTTTTCTTAAAAACAAGTATTTTCGGGCCCTCCCTGGTGGCGCAGCAGGTTAAAGCACAGCACTGAGAATCTAAAGCCGCTTCCGCACAGGTTCGATCCCCGCCTGCCCCGGAGGTGACCCCATGGCGCAGCAGACCTCTCCTGATCCGCCCACAGCTCCCCTCAGCAGTGTACTTCATCGATCTGCCTGTTCTGTTCCCCGCTCTGTCTCTAGTGAAGCCTCTCGCCGCCCCTAAGCCTCTGGCCTGTACCCAGGTTCTGTATACACAAATAAATAAATCTTTAAAAAAAAAAAAAACAAGTATTCTCCATTCAGTGCCATTAACAAATTCCCCCTCCTCTGTATAAGCACAACCGGGATTCTTACAGTTGTTCCTATTCATAGGTCTGTGTGTGTCAACTTACAGATATGTGTTTGCGGGCCCTCCCTGGTGGCGCAGCGGGTTAAAGCACTGCACTATGAAGCTTAAGCCGCTTCTGCATAAGTTCGATCCCCGCCTGCCCCCGGGGGAGATCCACATGACGCGGCAGACCTCTCTTGACCGCCGGCTGTTCCCCTCAGCAGTGTACTTCGTCGATCTGTCTGTTCTGCTCCCCACTCTGTCCCTGGTGAAGCCTCTCACCCTCCGCATCTCTGGCCTGTACCCCAGTTCTGTATGAATAAATAAGTCTTAAAAAAAATGTGTTTGCATTGTCATATGGTAGAGAAAATATGAGCATGTAAAAAAATCGAAGATAATTAGTAATATTTATTATAAGCATGGCCCCATATTTCTTAAGATCCCCTTGCCACCTGCGTTTGGCTATCACATATCTGGACTTGATGTTTGTCTTGTTCTATATGATAAGCTGTTGAAGAGATGGTGGCACCTCAGTAATATAGGTTCAGGTGGGTCTTAAATATGGGTCTTTGAACATTGATGATCTGAGAAGAATGAAACTAAAGTCATTGTGAAGCCTATAACTTTAAAAGTTGAAACCTAGAGACAATTTTGCCTTCTCAAGCACCCTCTTGAATGCATTTTTGACCTCCTTGTTCCTCAAGCTATAGACCAGGGGGTTCAGCATAGGGATAACCATGGTATAGAACACAGATGTTATTTTGTCTGTGTCCATGGAATGGCTGGAGCTGGGCTGGGAGTACATGAAGATGACGGTCCCATAGAAGGTGGCCACAGTAGTGAGGTGAGAAGCACAGGTAGAAAAGGCCTTTCGATATCCCTCAGCTGAGCGGATCTTCAGAATGGTGATAAATATGAATATGTAGGAAATCAAGATAACCAAAAGAGCAAAAAAGATGTTGAAGCTTGCCACAAAAACAAGAATCATCTCACTAACATGTCTATCAGAGCAAGAGAGAACCATGACAGCTGGAACATCACAGAAAAAGTGATGGACCACATTGGACATACAAAATGAGAGACTGAATGCGTCCCTAGTGTGGACAGAGGAATTTAGGAAACTATAGACATAGGAACCTACGGTCAGACGCACGCAAACACCTGTGGTCATGCTGGTGGTGTAATGCAGGGGTTTGCACACGGCTGTATAGCGGTCATAGGCCATTACAGCCAAGAGGAAATTTTCCATTGTGGCCAAAGCTGCAAAAAAGAACATCTGAGCAGCACATGCATTGTAGGAGATGACATTGTCTCTTACCAGGAACCCAGTGATGACCTTGGGAGTGATTGTTGTAGAGTGACAAAAGTCCACCAATGAAAGGTTACTGAGGAAAAAGTACATGGGAGTGTGAAGGCGAGAGTCTATGAGAATCAACACAATCATCCCCAAGTTCCCACTCACGGTGATGACATAAATGGTAGTGAATATGATGAAGAGGGGCATCTGAAGTTCTGGGGTGTCACTCAGTCCCAGAAGGATGAATTCAGTCACTTCTGTATTGTTCTCCATAGGTATTGTTTAGTAATCATAAGATGCTCTGGAACAATCCAAAGTAAAGGATCAGAATGATACATAAAAATGTGATTGGAGTGAAATTCAAACAGAGAAAGAGAATAGGTAGATGAGTGATGATGGTGATGGTGATAGTGATGATGATGGTGATGGTGATGGTGATGGTGACAGTGATAGCGATGGTGGCAATGATGGTAATTGTAGCAAGAGTTTATTATTTCTTCCTGGCAATAGTTTTACTTCAATTTTTCTCCAACCTTCTCCAACCTTCACTATGACACAAAATTTAATGAATGAATTACCCATATAGATAGATACACATTGCTGAAACTGAGTGATGCTTATGAGCCATCTCTCACTTTCTAAATTTTCTAAATTTGTAAACTGAGATTTATGATAAACAATGTTTTGATCCAGGGACATGTCTGGAATGAGTGAATCTTTCATTTAAGTTTTTCAAAACTGCTTTTCATGTGCCAGGAGCTGCGCTGGGCATTTTCTGTATCTATTCATTTATTTTTCTGAACAACCTGTAAGGTTGAAGCACAGGGCTTATCTGTATTTAATGTGTTTATCTTTATGAAATTATTCCTGCCAAAGTCAATCTTTGTCCACAAGCAGAAGTAATTCTTTAGTTCAGTTCATTGGTCTAAGATTAAATCAAATTTAATTTGATGTACAATTACTATTGCTTTCACTGCTTCAAAATCAGTGTTTGGAATATCACAGTGAGGTTACAGGCATATTCACAGTGGATGTACTGGGATAACTGAGAATCAAGAGATGTACCCCAAATTAGAAGCAGTTCTGAGGGGAAGACACAACTGTTGGAATAGCATGTAGGCTCTGGGAAGACATCCATGTCGTTTTCTGTATGAGTCGTTAGTTCTCACCTAGGTATGAGATCTGGATTTTTCCCTATGCATAAAAGGGTGCTTGTCATGACTTTACCTCAAAATTATTGTTGTTAAAAGTAAGTAAGATAATACATAAAAATGGGTAGAATGTTTGGTGGTTTTGTAGACTGATGAGGGTTAACTACAGTATTATCGTCAGTTTTTTTTTTCCCTTGCACATTTCATCACAGAGATTTTCTTTGTTCCCACTGGTTTTGTTCTCTGATCTCTGCCAGCAAGACCAGCTATATAGTGAGTCCATGTGAGTCACTCTCCTGCTTAACTTCTTGCTTAAAATCCATGTTTTTAGAATAAGTTGAAATAATTTCTTTCTTAAACTCATTCTTCTCATTCATTACTATCATTTCATGGTTGAATCACAAGAGTTGTGTGTTGCAAGCTCTTAATTTGGTCAACTGCCTTTAGCCAGCAGTTCTGTTTTGGCGGTGAATGCCATGTTTAAATCTTCTTTTATAAATATGTTCTTAATTGGGAATAGAATCTTAACTTGTTTTTATTTAAGTTGAAGCCTTTGGATGGACATTTATCATCACTCACCATTATTCTCTATCATCCACCTCTTAATTTTTTCACATCTTCATTTCACAAGCGACTCCCCCAAAGTCATTATGTTTACCAACTTCTGACAATTATAACCACTTGAAGTACAGCATATATTATTTAAACAATAACAAGTGCTGCTTACATATATAATTACATATATTCATTCTATACATATACATACATGTGTTTATATACATTTATGTATAAATGTATATATTATACAATTGCTTTCAGGTAATCCTCACAGACGTGTATCATGCCCATTTTACCATTCAGAGAACTGAAGATTTGAAAAGATACATACAATTCTATAATTTCATAGGTAGGTTGGGGCAGATTCAAGATCAAGATTCAAACCCAGTTGTGACTAAATCAAAAGTCTGTGCTTTCAGCCACCTCACCATCTGCATACGAGATATGCTAATAATCATCAGGATGAGATCATGAGCAAAAGATTACAAATGAGTAAGGAGTTTATGCATTCAATTGTAAAACTTCTGTAGGACCAAGAAAGCTTTTTTGTAAAGCAAATGAACTCACACATAACAAAAATGACTCTCAGACTCAGAAAAACATGGTGGTTACCAGAGGGGAAAGGAGTTTGAAAGAAAGTGAGACAGAGAGTGAGAATGATAGTGTGACAGGCATTTGAACTTCAGTGGTGGGTAAAGAGAGGCTCATGCAATATGGAAGAGTCAAGCTGTACAACCTAAAGTTGTATCATACTGGAAATCATGGTAAATTGCTTATAGATGGAATATTGAATGCCAAACTAAAGGTCAGATAAAAACAAGTTTAAAAACTTACCCTTGAAAGCTGACTGTGGAACTGAAGCATCTGGAGAGAGAAGCAGGTGAAGAAGGACAAAGAGGTGAAGAGGACAAAGACGGTGGCAAACACATTGGACTATGGTGGTGGACTGGGGTGATTTGAAGGCAGGTGCACTATGGTGGTGATCCTTAAGGCAGTGGATCCGATACTCCCAAAGTACCAACAGTAATGTGAGCCAATGTTACCTCAATAAAAATAGTTAAATAAAGAAAATCATATTGTTTTTAAAGAAGAAACCATTGCAAGTCATCATTTTATTTAAAAAATAAACAAGGGTTATTTTATTATCTTCCACTTTTCTTTCAACTTGTAGTTCATAAAGTTCATATAGCAAGTAAACTGAAATGAAGACTAATTAAATAAGAATATCATATCCTTTTTTTTTTTTTTGGTTAATCATTTTTTAGGAAAGCATCCTAATGATGTTCCATATGTTCCCTAAGTTCTCCCTTGATGGACGTTTTCACATGTATATACAAACCTCAATCCATTCTCTTAGTAGAAAATGTTCAAAACATCATTTTTATTGCTCAAACAATTTATCTCAGGTATAGTTTCTCCATGGATTACACTCTTCACTAAAGGGGTATTTGGAATATAGAAGTTTACCTTGCTTCTGGAAGAGGACAGCTAATCATGAATAATGAGTGTATAGTTAGATATTTACCCATGGAATAACTGCATATGTCTACTGATAGAGAACATATATGTTCTACCAGATCTTAGATTCCAAGATCTCTAAGACAAGAAAAGATGGAAGGAATAATCCAATATGTTGCCAGAAACCTGGCACAGCTCTGAATAGATGTCACTTCCTTCTATCCACTGAGAGTAGTCACTTTCTTATCCCTCTTTGTAATATAAAGAATTAGATGACTCTTCCCATATAATTCACAGAATTGTGTCTGTGATACTACCACAGCCAAGGAAACTACTGCACGCTAAATATTATGCAGAGTGATTTGTTACTATTTTTAAATAGTAACAAATGAAGGAAGCGTTATAAAACACCTACTAAGTGCTTATTATCTTAAAGTCAGATCTGAAACAATTTCCCCAGGCATGGCTTGCAGGCAGTTCCAAATTCTCAGGTCATGTGCTGGGAGAAGGACTGCATTTACTAATAATTATTAATGTTCAAATACAAAACGGTTGCCAAAAGGACTCAGCACAGTGTCTGGCCCCTCTAAAATGATGCCACATTGAATTGCTTGGGGATTTCAGAGGCTAACTCATGGGAATCGGGAGTTATGGTGACCTGGAGTTCTCTGGGAATATCCCCCAGGACATTCTCATTCTACTTTCTTAGAAGGGAAACAATTAAACGCTGGGGGAACCTAACAGCCTTGGGGAAGTTGCACTCCTGTTTTTCTAATTAACGCATCATTTACAAAGAATATATCCCCTTTTTAATGCATAATTCTAAAAATGTGGTCCACTTTAGATGGTCATAAAACCATGGACACAATCATGATGTAGGAGACCAGTATCATCTCAACAAAACTCCTGAACTTTGTGTTCAACCCTTTCTCCCACCTACTGTCTCTAACAACTACTAAAATATTTTTGACCATATAACTTTACCTTCGTAAGATCATCCCAGAGATGAAACCCTGCTGTATGCTGTCAAGTTTTCCCAACAACATTTGTTGAAGAGACTTACCTTTTCCCATTGTATACTCCCTTGTTGTAAATTAAATGTCCATAAGTATGGATTTATTTCTGGGCTTTCAATTATATTTCATTGGTCTGTATGTTTATTTTTATTCCAATATCATACTGTTTTGATTACTGTAGGTTACAGTGTAGCTTGCTGTCTGGAAATATGATGGCTATGTTCTTTTTTGTTAAGGTTGCTTTGGCTATTCAGGGCCTCTTGTGATTGCATTTAATTTCCAATAATATTTGCCTATTTCTTTGAAGAATGCCATTAAAAATTTGAAATTTGCATTGAGTCTCTGTATTTCCTTGGATGGGAATATGTAATTTTCCATTCATTTTTTAAATTAGTAGTTATATCTTTAAATACTTTTATTTAAAGATGATTGTTAGTATTTGGGGGTTACATTTTTAAATTATTATTATTATTTGGGGGTTACATTTTTAAATTATTTTAAATTATTATTATTTGGGGGTTATATTTTTACTTTTCCATGTGTCCATGTTCTACGTACCCATCAAACTATTGTGCTAATGCTATCTACTCTCCTCCTCCCTCTATTCCTCTCTTTCCCTGTTTCCACTGGTACCAGTAATTATATTCACTTAGTCCAAGATGTGTTTTGCTGTATCTTGCCAGTGGATTACAATTCTTCCATTCTATGAGCAAGAAATATCTTTCAATTTCCTTGTAGCTTCTATCTTTAAAAAATTTTCTTTTAGTTGTCATTGTATATGTACTTCACCTCCTTCATTAAGTTTATCCCTAACACTTAATTCCTTTTGATATGATCATAAATGGGATCAAATACAAGCAATACCAAAATATACCTGTGCACTTGATATATGCAATCAGGTCCCCATAGAAAGCTTAATTGCTTCTTCCTTAGGAAGTGGGGTGAGAAGCTGTAGGTGCTTTCTGAAGGTGTGTCCCCCGACAGCTGCCGATCCTCATAATTTACTCTTGGTTTCCTTGCATTTGCCTATAAAAATATCAACAACACTCCACACGGTGTTATTTTAAAGGACCAGTCTGGATTCTGGGTC